GATATTTTGGTAGGTACTACTTAATTGTGTCCTAATATCAGGTATTGTTTTCTTATTGTCAATAATAAAAGGTCTTAACTATGGCTGGGAATGTCATTCGCTAATGAAACCCAAATATATACCATAAAATAATGCGTATATGCCCTAAAAACGTCAAATTATGATCTTCATTTCATTTTGTTTTACACCAAAAAATATTTTTATTGAATTAAACATTTTTCTAGGACTACATCATTTTAAAGAAACCTAGCAAATGTTTACACAAATATATTTTAAGTGCAGGGCGTCAAAACGTGTTTAATGAAATATAATTTTTAAAAATAAACGAAAAACATAATCATAATATTATAAATATTATAAATAAACTATAATAATTGTAAAAAAAATTCCAAATAACATTATTTTAAATCATTTTTGTGGTTTTTTTTACTCTTTTCAAACCTGTCATAATTATTATTATGTTTAAACCCTATAGGCATGAACTAATTTAATCTTAGTTATTTCTACTTTGAAAAAACTAGAGAGTTAAAGATAATTATAATCCCACCAGTGTCATAAACACAAAAAACAAACCAGTTAAGGTTACATAAAAAAATGAAAAAAAATTATATTTAACGATTGAAATAGTTGTATTACTCTAGATATTTTTACACGTAAAATATGCGCTGCCCCTAAAACTATGGATCTATGACGTTATTTATTCATACATTTTCAATTTAAATATTTCATATTTAAAATGTTTAATATTTAAAATGTATAGTATTATTGTTATTGTAAATAATAACAATAATTTTAGTTGATAGTGATATTAAACATTTTAAATGTATAGGATTGGTAACCTACTATTTTATATACCAGCTTCAAGTAATCAAGACTAGATTCATTCCTTGGAGATGTAGTAAAGTAATTACAGATTTAATCATATTTAAGAGGCCACTAAACCCACCTAGTAATTGTTAATACGAATATAATTTAAGTGCAGGGCGTCAAAACGTGTTTTATGAAATATAATTTCACCAAAAATATAAGCTAAAACACGTTTATTGCCAAACTGTGTAGTTCAGCACAAATGGCTCGTAAAGAAAATATTTTTAAAAATATCAGAACTTTTACTATTATCTCTCGCGATTTTCTTATTTTGTTGTAATTCAAAAACGAATAACTGTAGATACATGAAAATTTCACTGAATGTTTATTTGATCAATTCTTATACTTGATAAAATTTTCAAAATATTTATACTTCTTTTGAGTTGTTTACTTACAATTTCATATTTCAATTTTTTTTTTTCTATGAATTTTAATAAAGTTTTATCTGATGGCCCAAAAAGTGTATAAATGTCACTAAATATCTATTATTATAATTATGAAATTTGGTTTTATGAATACCAAAATTAACCCAAGCAATTTCATAAAAAGACCATAATAGTTATTGTATTCCCTAATAATAATTATAATGAAAATATTAATAACGCAATACAAAATCACTTGGTTAATATATCTTAGTTATTAAAAATGTAATCATATATATTTAATGATTTTCATTATTCTTATATTCAATCGTCACCTCATTGATAAATGTCTGTTTTCTTTAATCTAAATAATATTAATGTTATGATGAAATGGTATGAATTTCGTTGTAATTATTTTGTTTTAATAATAAATTTAATAATAAGTATTTGTATTGTCAGTATTCCATTTAACTTTTTTAAGACAAAAATAATTCAAGCAATTACATAGAAAGACAATAATAATTAGGTGGCGCATAATTTTCGGGAAAATTGTCATCAGGAATAATTAAATTTAGGAAAATATTTGTCAGGAATGCTTTTATGACAGAAACAAATATTATCTGGAAAATATTATCTGGGAAAATAATATACAAGAATTCAAAAATCAGGAAACTAATTAAGTAGGAAATTACTACAAAGGAAAATATTACACAGGAAAATATTACAAGGGAAAATAAAAATCAGGAAAATATTAAGCCGGAAAATAATCAACGGGAATTTAAATACTAGGAATATATTTACACGGGAAAATAATATTCAGGAATAATAGTATATTAGGAGTAATATATAGGCAATCTCTATATTTTTTGGTTAAAAGAGGTTTAGTCAAATTATGAATAATATCACTTTATCAGTGTGATTTTTGAAATACCTATTTGAAAATTCTGAATAAATTGAAAATACCTAGACCTATAAATAAACCTATAAAATTATTTTGAGTTAGAAATTCATAAAAAATTTTATTTTTAAACCTAAGATTTTAAAATGTAATACAAGATTCCTTATAAGATTATCTACCATTATCAACAAAAAAATGTCTATAAGAAAGTCAAATTTAATTTTTATGAGCGTTTGAATTTCATACTTTTACAACATTGGATATTCACTCGTTTTCTCATGTAATTAAAAAACGAATAAGCTACATTAAAATTTCACTGAATATTTATATTAGCAATTTCTATACACCAAACAATTTTGAAAATATTTTGACTATTTTTGAGCTGTTGACGGACATTTTCAGTTATCAATTTTTAGGGTTCCGTACGTTTTCCTACGGAATCCTATTATTTTTGCTCGGCTGTCCGTCCGTCCGTCCGTCTGTCGCCAGGCTGTATCTCACGAACCCTAAAAGTTAGAAAGTTGAAATTTTCACAGATTATGTATTTCCGTGGATGCTATAACAACAAATACTAAAAAAAGGGATAGGAACAACCCCAGGGAGTGCTAAAACGGGAATTTTGAGATTTCAGATGGAAATTTTTGTTTATAAATAGTTACCACGAGTGATGTCGTATTGTTAATAAATGGTTGCCATGAGTGACGTCGTATACAAAGAATCGTTTTATAAATTTCAATACAGAATTGTACCACCCCGCAATCGACAACAGACATAACTTTAGATAATGGTACGGAACCCTTCGTGAGTGAGTCCGACTCGCACTTGGCCGGCTTTTTTTTAAATATCAATAAAGTTTAATCTGTTAGGCCAAAAACTGTAAAAATGTAATACAAAGCTAATGATATATTGTTACAATATCAGTTGAAAAATATTTTAAATACATAGGCACAATTTTTTTTTATAAGCATTTAAAGACAACATTTATCAAATTTAAAATTGAATAATTATTTTGTAGTTAAAAAATGTATAATTGTTCAAATTTTATATCTAAGGATTGAAAATTTAAAACAAAATTCCACGTAAGTAGTTAATTCTGTTACCAAAAAATCTAAAAAATACAGAAGCACAGCTTACTTTTATAGTCATTTTAAGTTCAAATTTTTACGAAATTACATAATAAAAAACCTAGAATAAGTTATTTAGTTATTTTGTTGTGATTGTATAAATTATTCGTGGGTACTTGAAACTTCTAAAGTACACTATTATATATGTTACAGTTAAAGTGTTGAATCAGTTAGTTTATGAAATAACTAGGTAATTTATAAAATAACTAAAGCTTGTAGGTATAGTATATAATTTATACTTTAACTAGTTATTTTATACAATCCCTGGCATCACTTCGTTAATGTTTCAAATTGTAAATAACAAAATATCATGACAAATAAATATAGTTCTAACATTTCAACAATTTAATATAACACATTAAATCAGATAAGATTATCGGTGACCGCAATGTACGTTTATCGTGTTATTACGGTAGGTCAATTATATCGTATAGCTAAGCTAAATTAGCTTTAATATTGTAATTATAAAAATAATTAAATGATTTAAGGAGAGGAAAAAAGCTAAAGAAAATTTGGAAAAACAGGCAACAAGAATGAAAGATTTATCAAATACTAAATTTGCGGTTGCTAATATTGGTTCTACAGTGCGTATCAAAATTCCCGATGTTGATAGAGGAAAGGGTGATCCTGGTTCAATTATTGCAGTTGTTTTAAAATTAACTGACGATGGGTCTTATCAACTGGGATGCAATGATGGTAAGAAAAATTTAAATAATACAAGTAATTTTTTATTTTTTATTTTTATTTTTTATTTATTTGATACCTACCTTAATCATTATATAATTACAGGAGTATTAAAACAACTATACTCTCGATCCCAGTTCACAGTATGTTCGGAAAATTTGTTAGCTGTAGAAGCGTTCCAAATGAAAGTATTACATTAAGATCTGCGGCAACTGCGCAGTCACTGGGAACTGGTCAGGGTTTTTTTAAATGCACTTGTACCAAAAAATGTGACACAAAGCGATGTGTTTGTAGAAAAAAAGAGGTGTTGTGCAACTTTAAATGCCATAATAGTCTTAAATGTTACATGTACAAATAAATAAATAATATAACTATAATTAATTCATAATTCAGTAAAATAAAATATTTTAATATATATTTTAAATTTTAATGTATTTTATACTTTAACGGATATCAAACTGAAATTTTACAGAATAACTAGATATTCTATGAAATAACTAGTTAAAGTACAATTTTCATGTATTATTTCATACTTTAACTAATATTCGTAGGTAATTCATGAACTACCTAGTTATTTCATAAAATAACGGAATTTAACACTTTAGCTGTAACATATATATATATGATAGTATCAGGGTTTTTTGTTGATGTATTACGCGTTATAAGTACCTAATGGATATTGTGATATGATTAATTTGGAATTTATAAGTATATAATATGTCTTTTACCCGTTTTATACTGTCTAAGCTCAGAATCGTTTTTCTTATACAACAGTGATGCCCAACCTTTTTTCCTCGGCGGGACACTTTGGTAAACATTTGTAATCGAGCGGGCCACCAAATATAAAAGTACTCATATTCTCAATCTTAATATAATTTAGTTACACATCGTAGGTTGCAATATAATATGGAGGTACATGTTGAACTGGTTTTCTTATATTTTTTATTGACTATAGCACAGATTACAAATTGAGGTACACGTTGTAGGTACGCATTAACTTGATCAGTACGCTCTTTATAGTGCACGGGTGATATCGATTTTAAATCATAAAATTTCTATTTTAAAATGTCCGACAGAAAAAAGCGCAAATACAATGATGATTACCGAATTTTTAACGAAAAATGGTCAATAAGTTACTTTTTCATTGAAATTAATAGAAAAGCTGTTTGCCTTGTGTGTCGTGAAACGGTTTCAGTTTTTAAAGAATTTAATATCAAACGACATTATGAAACAAAACATGAAGCAAAATTCGGCAATTTAAAAGGTAAGCTATTATTTTCATTATAATTAAGTTATAGGTACAAAAACTTAATGTCGTGTAATATTATTTAATTAGGAGAATTACGTGTTACTAAGTTAGAAGCATTCAAAAAAGATATCCACACCCAAAATGTTTCAAATTTATTTAACCTTTTCACTGCTATGGACGCATATATGCGTCCAACGTAGGCAACTCTGTGGTGCTATGGACGCACATATGCGTCTTTTCATTTTAAAAATCATTTTGAGAATTTTGAGAAACCATTTTGAGAAACCCTGGCTAAGAGATATACAATTAGCAATAACTTGGTAAGTTTTGTTCCAATTTTTTTTTTTTTAATTTTTTCAGATTCAGTGAGTATATATCTATATTTTTAAGGTGGAAATACTAGTTAAATGATTTATAAAATATAGTCAGCACAGAGCAGTTGCATTCGATTTTTATGGTAAGCAGTGAAAGGGTTAAAAAACAAAATTCAACTAAAACAAACGTTGTACAAGCGAGCTATAAAGTAGCGAATTTGATAAATAGTGAAACTATACCTCTAAGTGAGGGAGATTTTATAAAAAAATGTATTTTAACTGTGGTTGAAGAAATAATTCCTGAAAAATTAGAACTTTTTAAGGAAATAAGTTTATCACGAAACACAATTACCAGACGTGTTGAAAATATAGGGAATAACATACTTACACAGCTACAGAACAAAGCACGAGATTTCAAATATTTTTCGCTAGCACTGGATGAGAGTACCGATATCACCGATACTGCCCAGCTGCTAATAATTATTCGTGGCATTGATATTAATTTTAATATAACAGAGGAGTTGGCTTCTTTAAAAAGTATGCATAATCGAACAACAGGGGCTGATATATTTGAAAAAGTAGATCTTTGTCTTCAAGATCTTAAGCTTGATTAGAAAAATCTAAGTTGCATAACAACAGATGGCGCTCCAAATATGAGAGGAGAGAATATTGGTTTTGTTGGTAGAGTAAATAAACTTTTAAAATTGAAAAATATTGAACCTCCTATTAATATTCACTGTATTATTCATCAGCAGGCTCTCTGTGGAAAAGTTATAGGTCTCGAACATGTTATGTCTGTTGTAACAAAAGCGGTTAATTTTATTAGGTCTCATGGCCTTACTCATAGACAGTTTCAAAGTTTTCTTCTCGAAATAGAAGCTGAGTACAATGACGTGGTGTATCATAATCACGTTCGATGGCTAAGCAGAGGAAAGGTTTTGAAACGATTTTTTGATCTACGAAAAGAAATTGAAATGTTCATGATCGACAAGGGAAAACAAATTTTAGAACTTAAAGATGATAATTGGTTGTGGGATTTAGCTTTTCTTACAGACGTAACAACACATTTAAATATTTTAAATCTTAAATTACAAGGACCTGGAAAATTCATATTTGACATGTATAATTCTATTAAAGCATTTGATGATATAATATACAATGATATTATATCATTAAATTGAAATTTAATACCATCCATTATACAGTGACCCACTTGTAACCTACTGTAAAGCAGAGCACCTTTTTTTAATTTGAATATACTGAACATTTTGATAATTGTAGGTATACAATAAAATCTAACGTATTTACGTATACCGTGTACAATATACATACTCAAAAATAAACCTAAAACTTTGATAAAAACATACCTAATAGTAATTGGACATTGCACTGGATAATCAACGTTTTTATTAAATTATTAAAAGTAAATATTCTTCTGTTATCCGATAACAACATTTTGAATCTTAAGAAACTGCGCTCTACGTCTGTAGATGAGAAAGGAGCATATTTGAAATATGGTAGGTCTGATGTAGTTAGTTCTTCTTGTCTAGACATTTTTAGAAGAACCCCACACTTCCCGCCACCACGGATGGAAACCGGCTATTTCCGACGCCGCCCCGTCGGAAAATGTTGAACTATTAATTACGCGAGTCGAGTCCGTTAATAATAAATAATAAATTTAGGGATGGGCCGATACTAAAACCTATATTCGATATCGGCCGATATTGATGGTATCGGGTTTATCGGGTTTATCGGTATCGGTTTTTTTTTTTTAAACCGATATTTGGACCAATACCAAAAAAAAAACCAAATCTATCAGCATAATACTATTGATTAAAAATTGTAATAGTTAAATATAAAATGATAATAGTATCGGTGATCTTTTAATATCGGTTCATTGTTTATGCTGAAAATGTTTGTTTTCAAATATATCGGGTATCGGTTTTTTATCGGTTGCATATATCGGATATCGGTAAAAAGAGGTATCGGCCCATCTCTCTTAATATATTAGTATATTACGAAAAACCTCAAATATGCACTAAAAGCATGATGAATATAAAAATATGATCAATCAAGTAAAAATCAGACCAACATGCAAAATTAAATTGGTAAATTTGAATTCTTTAGGTGATGAAACAAATGTATATCTTACTTCGCATTGATTTAGATATTATAAAAAAATATGATAAATGCATAAACATCCGCTCCCCAATTATAAGAATAGGCATACCAATACGGGACACGGGCACCTATTTAAAGGTAATAAAATAATAGAGGCGTTATATAGGTAAGCTTGAAGCTAATATGCAATAAGCAGATACCTTTAGGTGCCGTTACAGTTACATTTGTTTTCTCTGTCTTACAAGTGCGTAACATAGCAAATTTTACGCTCGGCCAAACACGTTTATCTCCCGTTAGTTTAAAAATTAGAGCGAATTGACCTCTTATAAAATGTCGTATAATGGGTCCTCAAACTACATTAACACAGGCTAAAAGTTTCCCTGTACACCCAGAAAATGTTAAAGACTCTATACAAAAGTTGTTAAAAGTTTTACAAATAAATAATCCATTCAGAAACAATCGGTCTAGAATAAATGGTTTAAGTTATTTGTAAATAGACACAAAAATATAGCAAAAATGCATACTGAGGTTATTTCAAAAGTTAGAGCAGCTGTAACAGAGCATTCAATTTTCAGTTTAGACATATTAAATGATAGCCACAGGGTAATTAAGTTTGATGAACCTGGTTTACAATAATGTCCAAAATCAGATAAATTATTGGAACAAAAAAAAAAAATGGAAAACTTTTATGAAGTAGCAAATAAGTTTTTCCTATGTATATTATATTATTACCTATTATGATTTTATAGTTATTGTTTTATTTATTACAATTTTTTTTTTTTTAAGATGGATTTGATTTAGGTATATTGAAGTTTTAAACACTGTTATTAGGTTATTTAAAAGTATTTATTATATGTAGAAGTTTTAAAGAAGAATCAAACAATATTTCATTTGTATTTAGTACTTAAGTAGTCAAATTTAGGTATAGATAAACTTTGTAGTTCACACCAACAGTGGCTTTATAATGAGCCACTTCACATGACTTATTCAGAGAAAAGCAAGCCGGTTACATCAGGATATTATAAAACAACTAATCCATCAACATCTATAAATCACTGACAAAATTAATATTTAATAGATACCTATAGAATATAATCAAAATATTATACAGAACACTTCCTTGATAAACTCTATATTCAATAATCTTTCTTGATCTGTTACATAATTTATTCTAATCGTTTGTTTCCTATTTAGTAGGTATATAATTTTCAAACCAACTATAACCATAATTATCAATACTAAAACTAGGTAGGTAATAATTGTAATAAAATATGAAGTCCAAAAACAAAATTTATTAAGTATAAATTTAAAGTTGAAGGTTCCTATGTTAGTCAAAAATTAATAAATTAAAAAAAAAAAAAAATACTATTGCCAAATGGGAATGACACCGGTGGACTCTCTATTACAAATTGGACATCGATTATTACGTACTTGGTCTGCGCAATCTGCACACAATACTCTGTGTCCACAAGGTACAGATGCATGAGTCCTAGCACCATCCCTGCACACAACACAAATTGTTTCTTCATTATGAAGATTCACTTGAAGAGTTTGATCAATTTGGACATAAGGAATATTATCTGGATATTCATCATTTCCGTATTCTTCCTGCCATCTAACTAACTCCAAATCTTCGGGAATAAAAAAATCCCTTTCATCCCCTAATAGAGTATATAAGTAACAGTATCAAAAATATGGATAATAATTTTTTTCAGGTATCTTACATTCATGCACTTCTTCTGGCTCAGGGTTTTCAGGAAGTACTATGTTTACAGGAAGCTCTGGTTGATGATCTGTTTTAACACAATTAAAAAAAAAAACATTTAATTAGGTTCAAAATTTAATAAGTAGGTATACTTAAAAAAAAAAAAAACATTACCTTCGACTCTTACAGTAATTTCATCTTCATTCTCTTCTATTACACCTGTTTTCAAAACATGTATCATTTTTTTTTTATAAAAATTGGTTTCAATTTTATTACTAATGGGTTACCTTGTTCTACATTTATGTGCCAGTTCATTTCTTCACGGATATAACGTTCTGCACTGTGTGAGCATTGTAGTAAAAATTCAAATATACATTATACACCACTCCAACCGAACGGAGAATACTGTATTGTTGAATTTTATTAATTGACATTACATTAGACGGAAAGTGAATAATAGTCTGTCCAGTTCGGGTGACCACATAAAAACAAAAAAACATCAACCAAATTACATCAGTGTTTTCTTTATTCAATTAGTTACCTCAACACACCACCCACGTGGCACCCCAACAGGTCCACATCAGACTATTGTAGATACTTTAAAACCTGATGTTATGCAAGGTCAGCAATTGCACCGTAAGCAAGCTTAATTTTTTGTGATTTATGTATTTTAAATTTTCTCGCATAAACAAACATTTTGTAAATAAGTAAAATAGTATTGAAATAATATAGTTGCATACTAACGTTCTTATATCACGTCGACTTTAAAAAGAATAATGCATATTATAAATTACAGTATGTCAGTGTATTGTATCAACATTATTATTATGAATTTCGTGACTATATTTACGTGATGTCCATTAAATACAACGCGTGCGTTTCGGCCGATATGCTCAAATATGTGTCTGTAAACATTTTATAATGTGGGCTGCGGATTATAAGGTAGGTTGTACAGTGTACACGTATTATTGAATAATAAAAATTTGTTAGGTTTACGAGACGAAAACTGGTCGGTAGGTAATTCTGATGGTATTATCAGCTATTATGTATGAAGGTAGAGTTGAAGAATTTAGGATACGCCCGTCCATTAGGCACATACTATACTAACTTTTTATCGGAGAATGAGTTTTCAATCGTTGAATTGCCATCCCATATATAGGAAATATATAGTCATTAACGATAAGAAAAATACAAAAACGACTAGGCGTGGCTTTAAAGATGTACAGGATGCGACAAAGAATAAAATAAATAGTCATTGAGAAAAATCGTATGGATAAAAGCTAAGTATGTTATGTAACTATTATGTACTTTTATTTATAAATCGTATAATTACAGGTCCGTTGCGTACATATTTAACTAGAACACATCATACATATTTCTAGTTCCATAAGTATCTACTATGACAGCACTGGTAATGCTAAAAGGGAAATATCCCCCCAAACTCCTCATTTCATGGTCAACCTCATGTCCAGTTCTTAATATCATAGTCTGTGCTCCAAACTAATGACCCATAATATCTTAAATTCCATTTTGTGAACACGTCTACTTATGCTGAGGTACGAATGAACGATGGCATACGATTAAACGTAATAGTAATAGGAAACCAGATATTGTTTGCATTTAATTCATAATATTGTTTTAAATATTATTAGGTATTGTCGTATTAAAAATTACTGAAGTGACATATATATTAATACTGAGACAAATCGTTCTATTTAGGAGCGAATACCAGACGGTAGCAACCTCGTGAAAATATTAGCTATGTAAATTTCAATAAAATGTATTATTGATAACTTGCAATCCGATTTTAAATAATGAAAATATAAGTAAGACTTATTTTTTTTTTTTTACAAGAAATATACAATCTGTACATTAATAATACTAACATAACTATAAGTATAATGTGAGATTAGAATAAAAAAAAAACATTATGAGGCTGCGTGAATCCATTAGTAGCACTTATATTGGATGTATAAGACATATTTAACAGAAAAATGTGATGAAAATAAATAATAATAAAAACCATAAATACGGAGGAAAAAAGGTTTACATCAATATAAAAATAGTCACGATCCGAAGTGTGTTTTCTCTGTTAGTTTTACGGGACGAAAACTGGTCGGTAGGTAATTCTGATAGTATTATCAGCTATTATGTATGTATAGGTACAGTCGTACAGTTGAATAGTTTAGGATACGAGCGTCCATTAGGCACATACTAATATACTATACTTACCTACATATTTTCTCATTACATTGTATAAAAAAAAATAACATTGCATGTGTTCTTATCGGATAATGAGTATTCAATCGTTGAATTGTTATTCCATATATAGGTGAAATATAGTCATTAACGAGA